ATATTTATTCATAAAGCAAGATTGGTAAGCAATACTAAGCTAACATAACATTTTGAAAAAAGGGAGTATTTGGTGCTCTCCATGGTAGAGAGAATTTAGGAAATAATGGGTTCCCTGAAGTCACACCACTGGCAAATCTGGAGCAACACTTTTATCTGCAAAGTAAAAGCTATGGTTATGAAATAGAACCTAGATTGTGCCATTAACTATCTAATAAACAAGGGGTTCAAATTAATGAAGGTTCACAAACTTCCAGCCACAGCTTGAAATCAATGGTTGTTTTTATGAGAAACTGTATTCAAGGTAGTAACATCTGACTAGACAAGTTTTCCAATGCAGCTCCTATGATAGGCTTTTGTGTTTTTTAACTTTTTAAACATGGTCTCACAAGACAATATCCACATGCAGTGGAGAGTCTATGGACAGTCTTTCAAGGTATGTAGTTTAAGATTGATCTCGCCATCCCTTGCAATGATGTCTCATGCAAGAGGGCTTAATTTTGACCATCAGACTGAACATGATCAACAAAAAATTCCAATGGACAGCACAGATACTGGTACATAGTTCTTACACAGTGTAATTAATCTCACTTAAAGCTGTATAGTCAATTTTAAACTAAGAACAGAAGACTCGCATACAGAAATTTGTTTGAATTTGTACTGAAATATCAGTTTAAGATCAAAACACTTATAATTCAGAATTAGATTTAAACATTTTCTTATTTTGCTTCTCTGAATATATTGGTAATATATTTTGTAGTTGTTGTTAGTTGTCAAACAGTATTATTAACTAGGAGTGCATATCTCCTCAAAGTAGTTGATACGATACATATCTAGAAACAAACGTTTTAACAACAGTTTGTTACAAAGTTTGACAGTCTTGTCTGCAATTTATTATCTATATTACTAACATTGTCTTATTTAAGTACTTCAAACTTTATAGTGCTTTTTCAAATTCACTGGTTTGATCAATTAAATGGCAGCTGGCAAGAGAAGTAAAATAAAAAAGTTAATATCTGCCTATCTATTTTCATGATATTAGAAAAACACGTCTTGATAGAAATTAATAAAAACCCTATAACCTGAGTGCTTTCGAAAGGTAGACCTTTCTTCTTCAGTTTGCCCCTAAAAAAGAAAGGTCCTCTTTTCGAAAGTGCTCGGGATATAGAGTTTTATTCATGTCTATCTATTTTGTTATTGTTAATTTGTTATGTTACTTTGCATGTAATATTTTTGATAAAAGAAATGAAGACAACACATAGTACTCAATACTCATCTTCTTTTATTGAATCATAAATTTTTAGCAAAAATACTTAATTAGAAATTCTGATTTTTTTCTGTACAAAAGACTTATAATGATCACCTAAAACTTCCTAAATTTCTTGGAGATACATAAATCGTATCGGACGATGTATCTTATCGTGGTATCAACAGACATTTAGTTTTATGTTTCCCTAATGTTTATATTATAATCTTTTTTTGCAGATGTATAGTTTTATGGTATATGAATTATAAACAGTTAGTTTATTAAAGAAATACATACTTCCTACTTATCTGTGATTTAGCATATTGCAAAATTGTATAGCTCTGAATTTCAAAATAATATTGTTTTTTTAGATATCATCTGTTGCAATAGGACAAATAGCCTGTAAGAAAATATAAGTACTTTGTATTCAGCTATACCCCAAGCTGTTTATAATTGTTAACTGTGTGTAAGCTTTATGTAAACCATCTTTTTTTAATGGATATCCACCAAAAACATGTGACTCAATCTAGTGCATCATAATAGAGGTATAATAAAGAATCAAAGTAATATAGTTTATCATTTGTTCTTATAAAAACTAAAAGCCATTCTTAGAATTTAAAAAACAAGGAAAATTCAAAATGAAATTTAAAAGCAAATTTTAAATTTTTACTAAGTTTTATGCTGTTTCACAGACGTTGTTTTTAATAAAGTTAATAAAAACTGTCAGTTTATAAATTTGGAATTCCTTAGTACTATTTGATGGTGTTTTTTAAAGTAAATTATGCATCTGATGACATTGTGAAGTTATCCCAAACATCAAAATATATGTATTTATTAGTTAGACTTAAATCAAAGTCTTTGTGGAGAATGTATTTTTTGCACATTTCCAATTCATCAATGACACATTTACTTTGTGCTTGTTTGCCTTGGCTCTGGTATGACTTACAAAGTAGGTTGCATGGGTTGTTTTTACTTATTAGGAGAAAATCACATAGTTAAACTTCCACAAATTACACAGGCCTTCGAATTTAAACTTCATAGAAGTTGTTTTGTTTTTATTATGAATGGAGTTTCCATAATTCAGCTATGCAGATTTCAAAAATAATATTCATTTTTTTCTATCACGTAAGGATGTTTTTACAAATCGGGAAGAAAAAACTCTTACTTAGATCAAATTATTATTTCGTTTACCACAATGAACATTTTTTATTATTATGTTTGTTAACAAAACTACAAAATAAACTGAAGAAAAGGGAAGAACATTGATGTGAAACACATATGCATCCTCATTCATCGTGATTTCTTTTGTGAAATCTACATCTTTTAGTCCTACAAGTTGTGGTCTTTCTTTTATGTATTGCATCTGGAGTATCTCATTTCCACGATCAGCAGTAATCAGCCATCGTGCTGATGTTCCACCTTCCCTGATACCTCCTTTCCATTTCCCTGATGTCTTTATGAAACCTTTCCCCTTGTTCTTCACTGACAGCACCAAGATTTTCAGGGAAATAGTCAATATGTCATTGTAAGAAATAAAATTTCAAGCTCATATTACAATTCAACTCTTTGAATTTATTGAGCATGTTATTGACAATATTTTTGAAAGTTGGGTCCTTGTTGTTTCCTAAAAATTTGTCAATTACATCTTTAAAAGCAATCCATGCTTCTTTTTCAACTTTCCTCATTGTCCTTTTGAACTGTTCATCTGAAGTCAATTTCCTAATATGAGGCCAACAAAAATCCCTTCTTTAAGTTTCACTTCTGAAAGAGCTGGGAATTTCCCACATAGATACTTCACCATTTTTGTCTAAGGCCTTTACAGACTGCTTCATGAAGCATGTGAAGTGGAGGAAATAGGACATTTTTGTGTCAAACTTTCACGTGCAATATTTTTCTATCTTGGTATCAGGCTGACTGTGTGGCCATTGCGTCTTTATCCAGTGCTGATTTCATGCTCTTCTGCTCCATTCACACAAAAAAAAACTGAAACTTTATATAACTGGATTGTTGACCTGAAGTATACAAATGACTTTTAAGCCTCCACAAAGTAGCCAACCATGTTCTTTGTATTTTACCTTATTAAGAAGTTTGAGATTTTGGTAGGTTTCCTTTAAGTGAACTGAATGAACAGATGCATATATGTTACCATTATGAAGGAGAACAACTTTTAGACTTGTTTTGGTGGAATCAATTAACAGTTGCCATGCACTTAGTTTATGGACTGCAGCTCCTAGCATTGGTATTAAACTCTTTCTCAGTACCAGTAAAATGATGTCTCTGGAGAAAGTAAATTCTTAGCCCAAAGTCTGGACCACAAAATCTCTGAAGAATCCTTTTGAAGGCCCAAATCTCTCACCAAATCATTAAGTTCACCTTGTGTGAAAAGTTATGGTTCAACAGATGTTTCAAGTTGAAAAAAATCCCTATCATCATTTCTATTGACATCAGAATCAGATGAAACTGTATCAACAGCTTTCAGTGGAGTAGGTACAGGTACATCAGGTCCAGGAGCAATAGTTTTGTAGTCATCTCCATGGTTACTAGGCTCATGCCAGACCATTGGAATTCCTAAAGGCAAAGACTTTTTCTTAATTTTAGTCCAATGTTTCAACTCTTTGACATAAATGATGCAAACTTTGTGTGGAACCCATGATTGGTCTTGGTTCAAAATACGTGTAATATGCTTTTTTTTGACAAATTCTGTAATGTTTTGCCTTTGTTTCTTTACAATAAATTTACCACAAATATAACAGAATATGTTTGGGTCATTTACACAACCTCTTGTTGCCATAGCAATGAATAAATAATATCGAAAAGAAAAAAATAATGCCAAAGTGCATGCAGAAACAAATACTATCCAGAAATGACACATCATGTGGCCTGCTAACTGTTTATATACTAGTGGTGTTTTTCTCATTGCAATTGGTCTAGAGATATCTATAGCCAGTGGTTGTCAGAATTTTAAGCATAACAAAATATGACCTGATTTCATTGAAAATGATTCACTTATGTAAAAGTACATATGACATTTGTGAAAAATCTGTACGTGATGGAGAAAAATGGACATCATTTTCAGATTCAGCGTACAGGAATTATTGTAGAACGTGAAAAATTTAAAACAATAAAACCATCGCAGGCCTGTGTTATCACAAGTCATAATGTATATAGGGTGGCCCAAAATGCATATACCAAAAAGAAGTTGAATAACATTTTTATTATTTGACTAACATATTTCAAAACAAAATATCTTCTGAATGCTTGTAAGTTTACTTCATTTAATTAATAAACTTCTACATGTCTTCCATCATTAGCTATAATAAATCTGATTCTGTGTTCAAATTCTGAGAACACATTTTGCAACACAGCTGTAACAATTAACTTAAATAAAACTTACAAGCCTTCAGAAGGTATTTTGTTTTAAATGTTATTGTTATGTGTTAATTTATATTACTTTCATAGCTGCTTGAAATTGTTATATCTTGAAACTTTGACTCATTAAAAACACTCATTGTTGAGCATTGGTGATGCAGAAAATACAATGGTATATAGATTTAATTTACATTAATCTGATTTATTTTGTATTAAACCTTAAGCCGAATACCGTATGAGTGATAATGCTGTTGTTAAGTTCTTGTACTATACTCTGTGTTTGCGTGATCATATATTTTTAACACATCATGTTTGTAGCATGCCAAAGTCCTAAAAGCTTTTTGTTTCTTTAACATGTACAATTTTTCCTTTGGACCACTCAACAGCCTGCTCAAACATCCTCAAGTAAAATTGTTAATTCTAAAGCCAATTCTACATTAACAACAGCCTCTCGTAACCTTGATAGAAAGCTTGAAGGGTCAACCAACAAACCAGCTGGGGGAGTTGCATTATTTGGTGGGATTAATGTATTGGGTGAGAGTGTGTATGATCAAGATAGAAGCCCAAATAAATATACTATAGGTAGGTATAAATATATGTATACTCACTTATGTCAGACTTTTATTGAAATACTATGACATTACATGGCAATTAAAAACACATGCACTCATATTTACCTATATATATATATAGAGAGAGAGAGAGAGAAACAAAAAGTTCACAAGAATAAACTCTAACATTTATTGTTTATCAATCATTGTCATGTTTATAGTAAGCTTATAAGTTCTTCATGTTAATGAATTTATTTCTTTAGTTGTCACTCTCTGTCTGGAAATTTATTTTGATGTTGATTGCATTAAAATAAAAATTAATAAAACTGCTGAAAGTAAACTAAAGAATGTTTTTATTAACTGTAAAATAATTCTTTAAAGAAGATACATGTAAAACTTTCTAATTACTTTGATCATCATTCTAAGACACAAAATTAGGGAAAAAGTATTTCTTTATACTTGGGTTAATTGTTTATTTTGTCAGATTGGTTATACACAACAAGATAAATAGATTGTAACAATTATTAGAAATGATATTTTTTATGTATATTCTGAATTTTCTTGTACTTGTAAGAGATATTATATATTCATCTCATACAATTTTAATTTACAATTAGTTTTATGTCCCTCAATAAGAATAACCGAGTCATTTGAAACATGTAATAATCTAAATTTAAAATTTTTATTTTTGTTTTAACTTGTGTTCTTTGAATAACACTAATCATGAATTCAAACTCTGTAAAAAAAATTATAAATTATATATATTCTACTAATAATGTAATTTTACTTACAACAATAGTTTATATTGATTTTTCTGTTTAAGGATAAACTTGTACTCCATTTTTATGATCCCAGTCAGCTTTGAGTTTTCATAATTGTTTAATGGCTACATTTGTTTTTTAAAAAATTATTTTAGGGATAAATCTTTCTTGTTAAAACAAAGGTAGAAGACTTTTTTCTTTAAAGTTTCTATATTACAAGTTGCAAAGCTTTGTTTAACACCTCTTTGTGAAAATAACGTCTAAAATACATCTAAAGGCCATTTAGTGTTTGTGACCTTGATTTCTCCCTTTTTAGCCATGGCACAGTGGCTGATAGAAAGGCTCTGAGTTTTTCAAATACAAATCTTTAGCTTATAGCTTCGTCATCTCTTGACTGATTTGAGATCTAATTACAGTTTTCGATTGATGTATTTGACCATACCCAAGGACTCATAGACTAAATTAATCCTGCATCACAGAATTTCAGTTTGAGAGTAGGCTGGTTGAGATCCTGATGAGTAATAAAATCGAATCAGGTATATACACACACCCCACACTTGGTATTGCTGGCACACAAAAATATAGCTAATAAAAAGTAAAAAAGGTCTCCTAGATTAATTTACTCTAATCCTACCTAAAATAATTTTAATTGCTGAGGCTATTGAGGATTCCCTCTTGTTTTTCATTAGTTTTGTGGAGAGACGTTTGGAGTTAAAGTTAGTTGCTATAGATTTTTTTAAAAATCAGTGGGGATTGTTTTAACTGCTTTGAAGCTTTTTTTATGCTTTTGTACTTTGTATTTTATGATCTTTTAATTCAAGGTTTAGAATTATTGAGGGGCAAAGTAGTCATGCTTCACTCTGACAATTACACTTTGGTGTCTTACATTTTCTGTCAAGGGGGCACTGAGTCCAAGTCTCTTTGTTTTTAAACTTTAGATCTTCTATATTGGGCCCACTTCCATCATATCATCGTACTAGCTTGCCATGTTCTGGAGGTGATGAATTTGGTGGTGGATCAATTGTCTTAACCTAACCAAATTCTTCCGAGAGAATGGATGCTTCATTGAGGGTTTTTACATAGGATTTGCTCATGGTTCTGGACACTGATGATCAGTGCATTTGCCACTCATTGGAACACTAAACTACTGGCATTTTAGTCTCTAGTACCTTACCCTTGGGCATTGGCAGTAGATGCATTCAGTCAGGATTGGATTGAATTGCACCTATATGTCTACCCACTGATACGTCTATAACTCAGAGTCTTAGCAATTATTCGTTAACCCCTTATCGCTTTCTGTTGATAGCACCGAGTTGGCCAGCTCAACCCTGGTTTCCACTTTTGTAGTACCTTCAGGAGTGCCCACCTCTTCCACTTCCTCTTTGGCCATCTCTGTTGAGGCAGTCACAATCCAACATCTTGCATCCATCCATCCTGAAGCTCAAGCTTCATGCATGAAGGTTATGAGATCCTTCGCACAATGTCGGGGTTTAACTTCTAAGGTTGCTATGTACCTCTCTCTGCATTGTCCCACGATAGACATTTATCAATGGAAATGGCACACATTTTGACATTGGTGTATTGTGAGGAGGTTGAAACCACTTCTTCCAAGAGTTCCAACCTTATTAGCTACCTCTAGATACTCGAAGAAATGAAAATTCTCTGAGATCCCAGTGCGCTCCAGCCTCCTCAAGTTGTTTTGAGTCCTTTGTCCCAAACAATTGTTTCAATTACCTAACTAGGATATAAAGATGGTGTTACATGCTCTTTCTCAACATCAGTTTGAGCCCATAGCCTCATGTATCACCTTTTCCTTAAGGTTTATTTTGTATTGGTGCTGGCCTGAGGACCTCTATCACTGATGGAATCCCAATCGTTTGTTATGTCCAGTGAGGGCCTTGAAGTGTTATGTTGCTCACACTAAAGTTTTTAGAGGTGCTAGGCAATGGCTTTTTATTCATTGTGATACTTCAGTTTCCCAGGATTTACCCCCGGGTTACCCTGATGTTGTGGGTATTAAAATTGATCCATATTGTTTAATCTGGGCTCTCTTTGGAAGCAAGGAGACTTCTGCACCTCCTATCTCATCAGATTTCGTCACATTTCTATGTCCTTACCAGCCCATTTGAATTGCCTGCTTGAGGACATTGTGCAGGCTGGTATGTGGACTTCTCCAAATACTTTTATCTCACATTACTTGCATGATCAGGAAGTATCTTTCTGTGAGTGTTTTCGACTACACCCTGTAGCTATATTAACCACATCTGCTATATTCTAAAGAAGGGTGAGTATTTTCATTACTAATCTTGTCTCTTCTTTCCTTTCCAGGATCCGCTATCTTTTTTCACAGGATCCCACTCTGTGGCATTGCTCAGTCAGGTGTGCTTTTATCAAACCAAATCTGCACTAGCAACCACTAATACAATATACTTTATCTAGGTTGCAACAGGTCTTTGTAGAAATGAAATATTCCATAAGATCACCTAGAGGCAGACCAGGTGGTATTACTATACTATACTGAACCTCCACTCATGGACTATAATGTGTAAAGATCTTGTCCATCCCTGCCGATCAGTGGATTGCATAAATTGGGGTCGGTTTGCTTTAAAAAACTTAGGGAACTTGCTTCACCTACTGCACTGTTTCCAGAGCATTGTTCCTCAAGACTCCTCAATGCCCATAACTAGTGGAGCTAAGAAGTCCTTACCAATTTCCAGTCACTGGGGTGTTGGACAGAGGTTATTCCTCCAGAGTGTTCGAGTGACTTTCCTCCACTCTTAGGGAAGAGGGCAAAGTTTGGGGCCCTACCCAGGACTCTGGATGTTTTTTTTTCAGGTGTTGGTAGGAGTGGCACCAGCATATGCAGGAGCCTACTCATAATACCAAATCAGATTCTCATCTATCTGGTTGATCAATACTAGTTCAATACATTGTTTGTGGAAGAGGGACAATTGTTTTCTCGTAATTCCGAATGCAGAGTGATCCTATCCAGGGTCCTTGATTGAGCACAGCTTGTTCCATGTTCCCCCCCCCCCATAATTTTGGGGGTAAGGGGAATTTACCTTGCCCACATAGTTAGGGAGTGAGGATGTTCACCCTTAACATGCTACAAGTCAAAGACAGAACCACTACTTGGTGAACTTAGCACTATGAAATCATCAAAGTACTGCTAGAGGCCTACAAATTGACCTTTATCATGGAACTGCATTCATGTATCTGAGTAATCTGTTCATAACAGACTTCATGAACATGGTTTAAGAGACAGAAGACCCACTTTTGGCCCAGATGGTGCAGGATAATGTCAGACCCCACACCACCAGATTATCTATAGATTACTTAGAGCAGTAAGGGATTGAGATAATGGAGTGGCCAGTGGGATCACTGGACTTAAATCCCATCAAACACGTGTGGAACCAACTGTAAAGACAGATTTGTCACTGTGTAAATCTACCTACCAATGTTAGGGAGTTGTGACAAGCCTTGACAGAAGAATGCCAAGACATTGTTGAGAGTGTATACAAGCTTGAGGTAGTCATGCCTTTTACCAGACGTTACTTGAGAATTTTAGTTTTGTGTTCCTCAAGTTTTCATGTTTTACACACTACATGGATTACACTTTTGTTTTGAGTTTGTTTTTTTTCAAAATGTCATAATTTATTTGGAAAACAAAACTCATCAAAGTTTTGGGTCAGAAAAGTTCATAATAATGGCTGTTTTGTTTTAATTAACATTTCTGTTACCTTCTTTATTTACAGAAGTGTTGAGCCCCTTTTGTTTGTTTGTTCCCATAATTGTTTTGAGAAGTGTATAACTATATATTTTAGATTTATGAGTAGCTGTGTAAAAGACATAGGAATCTATAAAGAACACTTCCTTTGCTCAGTTTTAATACCAAACATTTCACTGCACCAATGAGCCTCCCAGTGGTAAGTTTGAAGGCTTATAATGCTAAAAGTGTGTAGTTTTATGCTCAACAACAGGAATAAAAATAAACACTGTACAATGGATTAGTTGCACGTGATAATAGTAGTAGTATGAAATGACAACATTGGAAATAATAGTGAGAAATATATTTCCAAATATATCAGTAGATATAATAGAGTAAATATCTTATCTAATATACAGAGAAAAACATTGTTTTGTTCTTATAATAAAAAAAAAGACTTGATATCTGTTGTCTGCAAGAAAAATGTTTCCTTTTAAATTAGTTATTGTAGATGAAAGATTTTTAAAGAGATTGAGATTATTCCCTATTTTCTAAATGTTTTTTCCCAGTTAGGAAGAAAATTTCTCAGAATATTACTGTTTGATGTACGATACTTCAGTTACTAAATTCTATTTTCAGATGAAACATGTAGTTCTGACACTTTGGAAACTGTTCAAGAGGTAAATTGCCTTGTAATTAAAGTATGTATACAAGTCGTATGTAATTAAGGAATTTTTTAGGGGGGGGGGGGTAACTTATCTATTACTCTCTTGTGTCTTTAAGATATAAATAGTTGAAAAATAATGAGATAAAAGACAGCAGTCATTTGATAAGCATTAACTTATTATACCTTAAAATAGTAGTAAGAGAGAGAATTATGAAAAGTTTTGTATTTTATTTTTTTAACTAAATTTTAAATGTAAAAGAAATATAATGGATGGGTATTAAAGTTAGAATTTACTAAAGTTGATATGGACTGTTATAATACGTAAACCATGATGAATACAACATTTGACTCACTTTTATGAATATTAGGATAAACTATTGTGTATCTGAGTTCCTAAGTACAAACAAATCATATTTCTGCAGTTACTGCAATGAAATATTTAAAGTAACACTGTTGTATTAAAACTCAATGAATCTTGTGAAGTGATAGAATAAATTTCCCACAGCTGAAATTGACCGAAATAGTAAGGAATTGAGCCAAGTAAGATAGGAAACAAAAACGTGCATTTCTAGAATTTTTTTTTAGAAAACATAAATGTACCATATTTATCCCATTAAAACTTAAAATAATTTTTGAAATGAAACATTTATTTAAACATCACAAAATAGCTCATTGTTAAAAATATAAATTACAGGTATCTCAAAAAATAATGGTACCTTGACTCATGTCACGGCCAACTAGTTTACGGCTCTTTAAAAAAGATTGAAGGCCATGAAAATTATGCTTTGCCTGAGTAACATCTATATTATAATGAAGAATTATTTTAAATTCTGTACTTCTTGGAGGGGTGGTGAATAAACTAGAGAGAGGGAAGACCTAGAGAATAAATGTCACAGTTCTTATACTACAGGAGATTGAGCATATTTTTTAATATTTCCTTTTAAAATTAGAACATATATAATATTAAAACTTGATTTATTAATTGTGTTTTGATGCCAAGTTTATATATATAATAAAGTAGCTTATTTAAGTTCTGAATGTAACTATCTAAAACGTCATGACATGCACACTTTGATCTGCCCATAGTGAGATGATTAAACATATAGGATTATTGTAAAATACTCCAACCTGGCAATGATGTTCTAGTGAGATGAACTGTGGACAGTGTTCTAGGCTTTCAGATATTAATAATATCTAACACATCATATAAGCATTCATCACAGTAACTTCAGAAAACAAATTTTTATTTGTGTTGAGTAAATACTAGTCGAACACCTTATGTGAACAATATTTTTCTGTAATTTCAGACAAAGAAAGCACCACCTCTTAAAGACACAAAAAATATCTCTGTTAGTTTTGATGAGCCAGCTGACACCAGCAATACTTTAATTACAACAAATAAAGTAAGTCAATTAAATTTCTATATACATTTCCAGTGAATAAACTGAATGTATTTCTTTTTTATTTTAGATTTATAAGTGAAGTTCATAATACCATCTGAAGGGAATTTTGTTTTTCAAAACATTTGATGTATTATGTACATTCCTATATCATTAAGAACATATAATGTCACCACAGGTGGTTTAATAAATACTTGTTACTGAACTTCACCTGCATTTCACTCATGATATAGAAATACTCAGGAGCTTGGGATTTACAGAAACAGTTTCTTTCATGTTTTGTCCTGTTAAAATGAATCTGTTATTCAGATGAGAGATGACTTCATACAACTTTATTATTTAAAATATTTGTTATCTGTGTTCACAAAGTTGTTTCAACAGATTTTTGAAATAGGTTTGTGGAGATTTTTATTCATTTGTGATTTTTAGGTGTATATTTTAAAAGTTTCTGATCAAAAGTAGCTGATTATAGAGGTCAGAGTAAGAATAACTTATACATTAATGGAGAAAATGAAAATCCAATGTTATAATAAACTGTATAAGTCAATACACCAAAGAACTAAAACCTGTGGGAGGGAGTTGGAGCCTAAAAATGAAGAAAAGATTATCTCGCATACGCCATGTAAAACCTTTGTTACAAGTCCCAAAAGTAACCACTGAAGTTGGAAATTTTGCTTGCCCAATGGCAAACACTTTTTCTAAATCACGTTCTACTTGATAGATCATCACCATATCAGAACTACCAAATGTGTTGTTGTGTTTGTTTCAAGATGAAAATACTGCTCAAAGTTGATGAAAATCCACACAAGTTATTTGGAATTATTAAAGATTTATTTTAAATTAATAGTCCTTATGTGGAAAAACCTCAGATTGAAAGAATAATGCTCTTGAAAGTTAAAATGCATTAGGTTTCTGTTACAAATAACCCATTTTCCTACCCTCCTTCGCTCCTCCCTCTTGACTGTGACACTGACCATGGACTTGACTGTGCTTGCCATTAAGGTCCAAGTTTTTATAAGCCTCACCATTTCTCATCCCTGAAAACAGTTTGATTAGAAATCACCTTAAAAACCAAATAAAATGTACTTTGAACACACTTAGCATTTTGACAAGCAGGATGATACAAGCAAAAAATCTAAATTCTATGCCTAGTGTGGCCTATACAAATATTTAAACCAAATCAGTTTGTAACCATTTCTTTGATTTGGTGTTGGAAAATGCATTACCATATTTTGAAAACAGAAATATAGGTAAGAAATATAAATATTTATT